TAGACAGAGCAGAGCCCTACCACAACGCCAGGAGGCAGCAGACAGGTCTGGCAGCGGCGGACAGAGATTTGCACTGATGTAGGCCGAAAGACTTATTTGGAACCATTTTAGTAGGCTAACGTCGTCGGGACGGGTAGTCGGGAGGTGGCAGGGAGAACGAGCCCCATTCGAGGCGGGAGAGCGAGGGGTGTAAGATGAGACGGGCGGGCGATGGGAAGGGGACTTTAGGGATTCCCGGAGGAAGGAAAATGCAGTTCGTTCGGTCATTTGTGTGGTGGTGGAGTTGTCGTAGAGGTGTCGGACTTGCATCGGACGAACCAACTCCAAGTCACAGCAAGTATACCTGGCAGCCAAGGAAAGTGTAGGCAAGAGATGATTAGATTGCTGATAAAACTACAAGGAAAAGGGTTAACATAGTTGTCCACGGTAACTTTAAAAACGTCGTTTTTTGGAGCAGTATGCCTCTTCAAAAAAGCGACATGTTTGGACACCATTATCTTACTTTGCTGAGTGGCAAGGGACATATGCAGGTTCGAGGATAGTTAGAGCTGCTCTTTGGGCAACAGTGAGCAAGAAGGGATTAAGTTAGATAAAGATCGAACTAGGTTGTGGGGATATGAAATGCAATGCATTGATATTTTCGTCAAATGTCATATATTTGGTAATGGCGAGTTACACGGCAGCTGGGTTGCAAGCATTCAAGGTAGATTGGCAAACATTGCGAGATTAAACACGACAAGACCGCAGCAATTGCATCCGCAACCTCACTGAAGTGGGCGCAGAACGAATTGTTATAGAGAACAGGAACTGTGAGGAGTTACGGCTTATGGCGAAAGGAAGATGTTGCCACGCACGGCACAACAGACCGAGCCGACCGCGGAATGCACGCCTTAGATCAGGCAGCCAATCAGCGCGTGCTGCGTGTTCGAGGGCGTGTGATACTACTGATCACACGTGCGACCAACCAATCAATAACAGATCGAACATTTGGACTTTCCCGCGAGGCGATCCTCGCGCAGAAAAGGGCCAATATATGACCGACACGTCATAGGTTGGAAGAAGAGGTGACCACGCGCGGCCGAGCAGGTCAA